AGTTTGCTGCCTTTCAGCTAACTACTGTCCATAATGTGTACTATCTCATTTGTGGACTTTCTGCAAATAAGGCAACAGGTTGTGATTGGATTTCATGTAAAATTTTAAAGCTAGCTGCACCTGTCATATCTGAAACATTAATCTATATCTTCAATCAGTGCATAATTTTATCTCTCTTCCCAGATGAGCGAAAAACAGCAAGAATTATACCTCTTTACAAAAATGGGGCTTCTGTTTGGAATTCAATTCCAGCAGAAATCAGAAATAGCAAAAGCGTGTCACTTTTTCAAATGAAAATTGCTGCTTGGATTTTATGATTTAGTTTAACATGTATTTAATTGAATAAACTAAACTCTGTAAATATTCATTCATTCATTCATTCATTCATTCATTCATTCATTCATTCATTCATTCATTCATTCATTCATTCATTCATTCATTCATTCATTCATTCATTCATTCATTCATTCATTCATTCATTCATTCATTCATTCATTCATTCATTCATTCATTCATTCATTCATTCATTCATTCATTCATTCATTCATTCATTCATTAATTCATTCATTCATTCATTCATTCATTCATTCATTCATTCATTCATTCATTTATTCATTCATTCATTCATTCATTCATTCATTCATTCATTCATGCGTGGGATATATACGCTAGTCACACGACTATATACAGGATTGCATCGTCGCGCCGTAATTTTTGTATAGGATTGGGCTGTTGTGAGTGCTGTATTTGAATCAATCTTGTATGTCTAGCGTAGTGAAAATCATTCCGCTCTGGAGGTGACACGAAAAGCAATACGATACCTGACGGCATAGTGTAAACGGTGCATTCCAATAGAAACTTCAATTTTTCTCAACATTTGATATTTGCCTTTCCCAAAAATACACAATGGTTGTCAGTAGCGCACTGGAACAACTTCTTCGTGGAGGGGAGGGAAGGCAATCGGTTACCACTGAAAACGTGCCTTAAAAATATAACTGCTGAATAACGAGGGTCAAAAGCCTCAGCCGAGTGCCAAAGGTGCAAGTCGTGTTTAGAGAGTCTGGAGGAATGCTCCCTTGAAGGAAAATTTTTAGATTAGAAGCTCTGAAATGCTAATTCTTGGACTTTGGGGAATAAAATCGTACCAACCGTATAATTTCTAATGCATTTCTCCAACATAACTTAAAAACTTGACGCCCCATTGTCTTTCAGCCTCCCCTAAAAATTAATAGCTGGGGGTGGCGTGGCCCCCTTGCTAGTTTTCTTAATCGATGCCTTTGTCAGCTTTTTGCAATGCACATTTTCTAAATTACTTGGAAAAGCATCTCCCTGTCTTTTTATGGCTTTCAAGTATTTAGTTCCTTTGCTTTCGACAACGACGTATTGTATAATTTTGGCACGAGATTGTCTGTTACTATGACAATAGAGACCTGAAATAGCTATAAGCGACCATATAGTTGGAACACCCATAATATTTCTATCTGATAGGAAATCAATCTGATACAAAAGCAATCTGATATAGTGTAAACGGGGTCTAAATATTGTAATGAATGTAAGATTAGTGAAGACACTCACTAAATATACTATGTAGATCAATAGATTCGACAATCTCGTCAATCTCAAATAAACCTCAGATGAGTTGCGCAGACTGAGCTATATTGTGTCACTCGCATATATAACAAAATGGCAGACTAAATACACCACACTGATCTCGAAATAAGACTTCTTTTCACCCATTCTTTAAACACTGTTTACACGGCACAGATTACTACATACAGGTCACGCTGAAAAAAGGAGTAAAAATGCTCTGATTTTAAGTTACCATTGTGAGTCTGATGGTAGTTTCTTGCCTTTATTAACCACAACATTGATTTGATCATCCCAAGATTGTAACATGATTTTGAATGTTTCACTGAGGAGAAATACTTCTCTATGTTATTGCTCCTGGATGAATTGTTTCATTTCATTTTTTGCAGAAACAAAGAGGACGAGACAGAATGGAAATTTCCTCCTTATCTTGTTAACTATAACTACAACCGTACGGAAGAATTAATGAAAGAAGTTAACAACCTTCATTCTTCACGTCTTTCCGCAAATACCACTCTGCAATGAAGAGTGTTGAGGATGAGTATTCAAACGCCACACTTGCTTTCAACGATGCCTCCTTGAGCCTGGAAGATCGCATTATGGCGGCGTCATTTAGAATACACAGTCGCCTAGTTCTTAGTTTAGAAGACCCTGGACTGTTCATACTTTGTAAATCTTATCTGACAGATTTACTTAATCTGCCCGAGATTGGAGAGACATTTAAAGGTGATCGTCAAGGTGGTGTAAGAGCAATGTTTAACTCTGTTAAACGACATGAGATTGTTCAAACAATTTTCACCATCAGTTTTGCTCTTTTCCAATATCTTTCACGATTTACGCACGATAGTATGAGCGTATGCAAGTGGTCACTGATACAAACTAGTACCTGGACATATAACACGTTAATACCCGATTAATATTACGGTTGTGTCATTTTTGACTGTTAACACTGATGATAATTTACTTGTCTTTGTTGACGTGGTTGATGACACATTGTCTCCCGGACATTGTATGTATGATGTTTATATCTTTGATATGAATGGTTCAATATTGGAAGTCGACGAGAAGTTTATCATGACAGATAATTCTTTGGTATTAGTTCCCCTCCTGCAGACGTCGACATTGCAATACTCATTGCAAAGAAGAATTACATATTCCTTCAAGGTGCTCCAACAAAGATTCGTGATTCAGAAATTAAGAGCTTGGTACTACAAGCAGAAATAGTCGCGCCAACACTTGCCACTATAGATCATGAGTTGAATGTGATCACTATAAAAAAATATGGCTGCTTTGCACAAGTGTTTGATCAACATGGAAACGTCGTTAAGGAGTTCACTTTATTTAATAAAAAAAAGAGACATCTGTTGCTATCACTTTTAACAACACAGATAAGGAATTGAATGCAATATCGTGCATTGATATTTCCTGTCGACGTATGACTTGGATTCTCCTCAATGACGAAAACATCATTCTTGCCTCGCTCATCTCAGTGTTACTAGTCGCCAAGACATCCATATTACGTCTCATGTTGCATGACCTATTGCTTTAATTTCCAAGAAATACGTTATTCTTATACAGCGTTAAGAAACAAAAATGACAACTTGAACTAGGTTAAATTTCTCAGGGAAATCAATTGCAAGTCTTTTTCAAAGTTGTAATGTTTAAATTGATTTCACGACTTTAAGTGGAGTAAATACTTTTAGATGGGAAATTCAGAAACTTTATTCAGTGACGCTTGTATTTCATCAAACGAAGTATTTAATGTAAATAAACTTTGTTCGTCTGGGAAGAACGTCAGTGGCGGGATCCCGTGTACGTCAGAATAAAATAATAGCTCCTCGATTTTATATTCAAATTACATTCAGAAAAACACTTTTAATTTATGAAGAGTACAATTTTACCAATAGATTACTCTTTAAGGTGTTTAGAAATGTTAATATACGCCAAAAAATAAAAAAGCAACAATATGGCTTATTGGCCCTAGCTTATTAAACACAAATGTCGTACATATGTATGTAAGCGGCAATGCAAGCAGTGGCAAAGCCAGCCATTACTTTGACTTTGCTGTTCAAGTTTATCTGTTATTAACTAATGACCAAATTTCTAACGAAATAAGTAATGATAATGCTACGGAAATTAATACAGCTTATTGCCGGATGGTTACATCACTAAACAAATTGTGAACACAAATCATATGTGCGTGTTATATGTATGTTGATCGATCATACTGACATACAATGTCTGAAGGTTGGTATGAGAGACAAGCTTGGACGACGAGATAGGTATAGTATTAAAGGAAAAATAGCTTTCAATGCCAATTATATTGAATTTGTGGTCAATTCGTGTCCAACATTACAGTTTTGCTCTTTTTATGCTTCAACAGTAAGTTTTCACTTCTCTTTTATTTCTGTAAGAATTACGAATCTAAAGTGATAATTTCAAATGGGGGACTACTATATTTTTTCCACTTCCAGCTTGTTTGTTATTTTCAAAAAGGTCACAGTTACGCAAAAATATCTTACCACTGGATATAAAAATACTAATTATACGTACGAGCTACATAATGGGTTATTATAAATAGCTCCTTTCGTGCAAAGCAAGAATATAAGACAATACATTTAATATATGCTCATGAGGAAAATAATGAGTTTCCCAAGACGACGTTGAGTTTTTTGTCATAAAGTTCTTTTACTTGGAGTATTGATCAATGTTCCCAAAGGAGACCAAGAGGACAAAAATAGTTGATAATAGCCTATATTACAATAAATCTCTCATCAACAGTGGTCGCAAAACGATGGCTGACAAACTCAATTTTGAAGCTAGATGCCTAGTTCACATATTTCGTTACTCAGTCTGTACTTCTGCTTTCATTTCTAAGAAATTGGCATTTTATATGAGCGTTTTTTCAACATGTAGCTAAAGCTAATCCCTACGTAACCACAGAATAAGAATATACAGAAGAGTCACTCGTGTCGGAAACTTTGAAGTTTTTGTTCTCGCTCATGTCGTGCCGTGCATGGTGGCCGCCATTATTCCAGCCAGATGATGAGGGTTTTTGTTTTTTTTCCAGCCTTCAAACTGATCCGAAGTCATTCTTGAGTCAAAATATATTTGAATTCATTATTAAGTATTGACGTCAAGTAATTTTAATGGTTGGAAAAAAGTGAGAAATCCTAATTATCTGGCTGGAATAATGGCCTACATGAGGACAAATTGTACACCTGAGTGACCCTTCTGTATAATCATTTATCTGTGACGTAACGCTGAAAAAGTGTCCGTACGGCTGTCAGTGTGGTGTGTGGGTGTTGTTTACAATAAAAAATGTGAATTTGATAAAGTTTCTTCTAGTTAAATAAATCATGTATTAAAGGTTAAAGATTACTTGCTTATTCTAAATCGAAATTAAACAAACATTGCAATGCTAAAGTGTAATTGAAGTGATCGTTTTAAACTAAAAACGTTACAAGGTAGTAATATAAACTATACTAAGTAATTAATAACATTTAAGCCGTATGAAAAACCTTTTTTAAATCGAAATGAAGCAAAAATTTATTGTGCAAAAGTTCCCGATTCACCATCTTTAGCCGCACCTGGGGCACCTCTCGGAATTTCACTTCGTTTCTTTCCATAAAGTGCATGTCTTCTACACCTTGAACCTGTTTCATCGGAGCCATCTGTACAATCACGTCTACCATTACAAGCTTTTGTCCAATGTATGCATCTATGATGGTATGCAAGATTTATGAAAATGTTTTGATGCGAATGTTGTCTTTAAGCAAAACTCCTGATTTATCATTTCATACAAGTTTGTCGTTTGTATTTTCAGGAATATGTTTCTTTATCAAGCATATATATGATAGAATTGATATAATCTTTGTCGCATGTCATATAAAAACTAAAACATGTATATTTGACTAAACCTCATTTAGAGATAGGATGATTTGTCTCATGATAGATATATTAAGCATGTCATGCGCTTCAATTCCTCTGTTTTACAAATACTTTACCTGTTGTTATCGCAACGGAAAGAGTTGAATCCACATTTACCACCGTGTGGACTTGGACAGCCTGCTTCATCAGATCCATCGGCACAGTCGTTGTCTTTATCGCACACATAGCTGGCACTGATGCATTGATTAACACTTCTGCAGCGAAACTGGCTGCTCGAACAGCTACCACAGCCAACCTATAATAAAACACGGGTATTCATTTTGTAGTTTTCAATCAACATCAGAAAGAATCATGCAATCACATTGTGAATCAACATTGATATTTATTTGTGTTTTTACCTAAGCGTTATTGTCATGATATTCTACGATAAATAAACTTCCAACAGTAAAAATGGTTTCAATTAATTGATTGTATTTTCATTTTCTATATTTACGCGGAAACACAATCGAAGTTACAAACTGCTAGGAGATTGGTGGCGATATTCATATATTCATATGCAATAATTCATAATCTAGAAAGTATATGATAAAACTAGCATTAACATGCATATATAAATACCCCCGTATTATCTATCTTCACCAGCCCCTGTCATTCTTGACACATGCCAATTATTTTTCAAACAAAACTTGAGGAGTCGTATGTATTACCAAACGCAAACTTTATTTTCTTAACCAAGTTCACTTCGTCAACACTATTCTTGGTTTTTTAATGAAATTCATGCACACAATCATTAGCTTTTTATATGTTACCTGCAAATATTTTAAACTCTATTCATTTCTATCGTAAATGTAAATACTTAATGTCGAACAATATTTGCAATAAAACTAATTTAGTCACATTGATGATTTCGTATGATTAAAAAACAATATGTTCCGAGGCAGTGCTGGGGTAGTCAAAGGGAGAAACGCATCCGAAAAATTTTTTTGTCCGTCCCCAATTTCCACCAAGATATTTTCATCTCACTATTACCATTAAGAAACTAAAAGGTTATCCGACAAATTGCAAAGTCCAGAAATAGATTACATGAACTTATAAATTTACTGCTTGAGGAGCTAGATCAAATAGTTTTGATTGGATGCGTGGGCAAGTGACTATTTTACGTAGTCGTTAGAAATTGCAACGAAAATTCTAATGTACTGCTTCAATACATCGTAATGTCAGAAAAACAAACTGTAATTTAGACAAATATGAAATCTTGACATCTTTAGAGGAATGCAGCACTCTTTTAAAATTATCTCACATGAGAAGAGCATGGCTTGAAAACTAATAAAACTCATTTCAGAATGATAATGGTAGCTGTGTCTGGAGGTCAAATTACGTGTGTTGCACACGCGAAGTTATACACGTTACGCTGGACTTGTTAATAAAACATTTTCTACCGAAGTCTTTTGATTTTGTTCAAAGAATAGAGATGGAAAAGTATTGTGGCATTAAAGGTGACGGGGATTGATCTTTATTCAAATTGACAACTATAAAACAGCTGTAGCAAAATGGCTTTCAATTATGGTTGGTTATGGCTTATTATACAAAAATGTTATTGTCCAAAATTTGTGTATGCTTCATGTTAAGTCTCATTTGAAATGTTTTGCTCGCATAGTTAAGAAAAAGGATGGCTGTGTCTTTTTAAGATCTTTGCAGTTCGTACAAGTTATTTTACACTTGCATAATGACCGTGTGTTTATAATGCCTGGATTAAAACAGGGTTTAACTGGCACTAAGATTCGGCTGACGAGGCCTTCCACCTATTTTAGTTCAATGATTAAAGCATACGTCATTGCTCATTATATAATATTCCATAAAAGGATTTTTCAAAATTTGTATCGGCTTTCAAGCCCTGAAATTGAGCACAGATATTTGTGAAGTCTCGATCTTGTGCCATCAATGAACGTTTGGCTTTAAGAAGTTTGTTTTTTACATTCAGTTATGTATCATAGTTATTCTCTAATATTTTAAGTGTTAACATGTTACAGTAAACCATTTATGTTAAAAAACAAAAAACTGACTGGTATAACGGGAAACTTGGCAGCTTTGTTTTAGAGAGAGAGTCATTATTAGACTACGTTTACATTACTCCGGATCGGTCTGAAAACGGCGCAAAAAAAGTAGCACAATCGGGTTTCGCTAATAATTCACCGGAGCGGAATTGTTTGAAAACGTCACTTTAGTTGGAGCGACACGATTACACTTTCTAAACGTGGTCGAACGAAAACGGACCGCTACGCTTTGTCGTATACACAACTAAACGTTAATATTTGTCTACGCTTTAGATACCAGTTCTCTTTAATTAGTGGGGCATAATTAAAAATGGTGAACATTTCATGTTGTAGAAAGCTTTTAATGACTGATTCCGTTGTATTGTTAAAAATTAATATTTTTTTATGACGTATGTCAAGAGATATAAACATCTAGTAATATGCAAGTAAGAAACGGCGCCATCTTTCACAAACAACTAACGAATTTTGACTGCAAGAAACACTACGTATAAACACCTGATAAAATGTAGCGGAATTTAAACGGATCACTGTAAACGCAGTAAAATTATCTGTCACTATTTCGCTCCGGCGTAGTGAAAACGTAGTCTTAAAGATAGAAGACAAATTAATATCTACCTCGTCACTTCCGTCCATACAATCCTTTGTTTTATCGCATTTCCAATGAGATAATATACACTGCCCATTTCCACACTTGTACTGACGGCAAGGATTACATCTTTCAATGGCAGTTTTGTAACCAGACGAAGTAAGGCGAGATACGCACACAAAGTTTCTTTCGTCAAATATTTTTCCTAAAAATATATTAATTATTGCCCGTATTTAGTATTGCACCAGTGTTATTCATTCTACGACAAGAACCCGATAACAAAGTATAAATTGAAATGTTTTAGAAACAATTCAAATAGACAACTACAATATCTTCTTTTGCTCTCGGGCTTTAATTAAGCAAATGCGAGGTCAATAAAAAGTTACTGTATGACATTATTTGACATATATAACACGAAACTGTCTTTCTTTTATTCGATGCTTTCCTGGATATTTCAAAAGAATTAACTTTCACTTCTCTTGTTTAATTGGTTCATCCTTTTGCATAATACACCCTTGTTCCATTACCAGAAGAAAAGTAATAGGTATAGCCAAATATATTTCCAAACAATTCAAAGCGCTCTATTTTACCGCTACTGTCGGTAACGACGAAACTTATAAAATATTTGGTGCTAAAGCAGTAAAAACTAAAAAGAATTTCTCAAGCCTTTGTCCAGTGAAGTTGGATAGTAATGTTTATCATCTACGTTTATCATCCAAGTTTTGTAAACTTGCAGATGGAGCTTATAAATTCACTTTTACAAAGAAAAGTACGATATTTTATTATTGGTTTCACGTCATAGGTGTTCATAAAGTGCTTGGTAAAAAATCTTTCAGTACGTTGTTATTTTTGTTAGTTTGGAAAGAAATATAACATAAAATTACATTTTACATAGCATATTACTTAGCTAATAATGGAATGTTCGTTGTGCTACGGGGCTTTTTTAGGACCATGTAATGTTAGCAGAATTCTTCGTGCACTCTGTTGCATATCCTTCGATATCTATACCTAGGAAGTTTTAGATGATAAAGTGCCATAATGTTTGCATGCTTAAGATTTATATATCTAATAATTTTTCACTTTGTCCAAATGCTACGCCATGTTGAATTACTTTAATACCGGTGGACTCTTCTTTTTGACTGCCTGTGTGCATCAACATTCGACATCAAACAACTTTCGGCAATGTTATGGTTCTTAGTAAATTCTGGAAATCCATTCCTTGATCTTAGAGCCGTATTGAAAGTAGGTTGTTTTAGATATTCACATGTTACATGCTTTTATAGCTGAAAATTAAGGTGAATTGACGAACGTGATTCATACGTATTATTTTTCTATAATATAACAATTTGTTCCAAAAAGTGTTTATTGTTTAATAACGTTATCCAGTAGTTTGTTTGAAGTCTTTTGTGCGTGCGCAAATAGAAAGAAAGTTTAGTATCGGTGCATCGAAGAATGAATAGCTGCAATTTTGAAAACAACGAGAAAATGAATGGAAATCGTTGTTGTGATAAATTATATTATTGATTTTTAAGTAGTTCGAATTAGTTAAAGTACGCAAATGCAGGTTTTCTCCGTCATCTAAATAAGTTGACATAAACTTCTTTACTCACATACAGCATTCGTCTCAATTATTATACCTTACCTTTGCAGCAGCCATAGTTGTAGCTAAATGGCAAATTAGTCCTTGAGGAATAGCCTTGGCATCTGAGATTGACACATAGCTCTGTTTGTGACTTGCATGATCTGTAGTAGGTACTTCCAATTACAGTCTGCACCAGAACAATCATTGACAGTGTTACGAATAAAACGTTCATAGTACTCATTTCTACGTTCTACAAAAAAATCATCAGAGTAGCTAAATTGCAATTGTAGACATTTACAACATCTTTAGCAAATTAAAACACATTGTTTGTTGAAGACAATAACTTCAAACACAATTTAATTACATTCACGTTAAAAGTTTTTGTTCCACCGAAGATAAATGTATATACTTTTAAAAGATTGCACATACTTACGTTGTATTTTAACAGCTTTTCTTTTTCAAATAGTTTAACCAATGAGTTCTGTCTCAACGTGATGACCTGTGTGTAATGACAAAAGTAATAAACGTGAAGGACATTTATAACTTTTGAAAATGGCGAGCAGCATCCTCCTCCAACAATTTCCTCTAACAACTTACTTTAACGGATGCTGTACGTAAATTTTAATGAAGATCTGTGTTTTTTAACTGTAGAGAGACTTTTTCCTGTTAAAATATTTACTAAGCATTGTTTGGTGAAAAAACTGCTGTGTACTAATGCTCTCACAATTGGTAATTGTAGAATATACATCGCAGTTTTACATAAGACTCGGTCTCAGCAAAGAATATTTAATAAATTGATAAGAAACAAAATAAATTCATCTTTAGCGGTGAATTACTCCCTCCCACATCAAATAATTCTATGATGCAGATTAGATGAAACAAATTTATTTAGTAGTCGCGTCCCCAGTCGTATTCGCGCACTCCAATTCTCTGCTAAGTACTAAAAATTTGCCAAGAGGTTTCACTTTTTGAAATGTCAAAAAGTATGAAAAATACTCTAGGATATCAGTAATTACCGTAGCTGCGTAAAAGCACTATTGATAGTGCACATTTTATAGAAACGACAAGTTTTTTTTAAATAAACATGTTTCGACATATCATCGACACTGCAGATACTACATTCGCACTAAAAATCAAAGAAGCACTTCACATTAACAAAACTAACCCTAATCTCAACGTTCAAGTTTTTCGTTTTAACACTATATTCAGCCCGTAAATACTTTCATCATTAAGTCTAACCACTATTTCATTGTAATATAATAATCTATTCATAAGTGTATAAATTGTATCACAGTATCATATTACTCTTATATATATTCATCACATACATAATATTCCATATAATACTGAAGATGGCATCATACGATGTTAAAACATGTTTATTTTAAAAAACTTGTCGTTTTTATTAAATGCGCAACATCAGTAATTACAGCTATGTGGTGTGACTCAAATGTTTTGCTCAAAATTGTATGGATATTTACGATAGCAAAAGCCAAATAGACGAATAATCGAGTGATGTGATTAGTGAATAGGTTAATATAGCAGTAATATTTTCAAGCATGTCATTACTTTAGGATTGATAGGTAGGCAGTGTTTATGTATGTAGATAATACATTGAATCTTCCAGGAAATGGCGAGTAAAACTGTTATGCCATGTTAAGTTTTTGGAAGGAAATTGAGATCCAAGATATATTAAATGTGGAATAACGTCTTACTTTAGTGTGTACTCTACGCTACAAGGAAGATACACAAACCCAACTAATATAGGCATTTCAGTTTATTACGCTGAATAAAGCTACAAAAATCTTATCGAATTGTTGGTTCTGAATGTGTAATTGGTACCGTAGATAATAATGTAGATGTAAAACAACATTCAAATTAAGTCAAAGATGTCGACGATGAAATATAAGTAATAAAAATGAGCCGAATTTATAATGATTTTTATTTAGCAAAAACTGTTCATACAAAATGGTTATTCCCTTTATTTCCGAAACGAAATTTTTTCATTGACGAAGATCGTTTGACTGATCTGTCGTGCAAACATTTACAGTGCTATGTGTGCATTGCAATATCAATTGCTGATGCGGATGTTATGGAAATGGAATGTAAAATAGAAAAGTTTGTCAAAATAGTCACCTATCCAATTACCATCGTACATATTACAAAAGTTGTAAAAAAGCGTCTTAGTTAACAACAAGAAATATGAGAAATACCAACAACAAGACTAGTTTGATAAACAAAATTGAGCTGTATATTTAATAACTATGATTTAGCTAACTCAGCGTCTCATTTGTTAAAAAAGCAGTTAACTTCTGTCATTATGATCACAAACGTAATATGATATAAGCCAAAATGTTTTCCTAGTATTAACCCTAATGTTTTCTTATACTTTGGATAAGTTATTTTCAATTTTGCATTATTAACTGACTTTTAAGACGCAATCTTAACAATTATTGTTATATTGAAAACTTGAAGATGAAATTTAGAAATTAAGGAGTTCAAAACATATGCACTATAGTCTGGTATAAGCATCCGCGACGACGAAATACTATCCAGATCACAGTTTATACAGGCTAAATTAAGATTATAAATTAGGATATAAAACATAGATGGATGAATTAAATTTTAGATTATTACAATTAAGGCTGAGAGAAAATTTCACAAATGAAATTATAACCGAAAACTTTCCTCCTTTGCATGATTGGTAGAGTTGATGTAAATCAACATTCAAAGTACACAGAGCCGGATAATTTCAATTCGTTTAATCCAAGTCGCTCACACGTTAGCTCAAACTAAATAATAAATTAATCATGCAATGTGGTTTCAAAATTTCATTATAAAGAATTTGGATCAATATCATTACAACTTTCATACAATTGAGCAAGCTGAAGCAGTTTTGTAACTATGTAAAGTAATTCAATATCGGGGCCGGTTGCACGAAGCCTGGATGGCATAATCCACTGGATAGCGAAAATTTTCAAACTTGTATAAAAGGTATTTATATTTTCCTGATCTTTTAAAATGATTTGATCATTTGATTAAACTTGAGCTTTTTGTATATTGATTTTTTGTGGCTCACAGTTGTAAGCGAACAATTAAACTGCTAATTCATTTCTATTTACCTAACATAGGATATTAAACAACACTTTTGCTATCTCGAACCCCACACCCCCTAAGCGTCTTGACAAATATAGTGACAATAAAAATATGCAGATGTAGTTTGTGGTGCAGTAAAATAAGCACAATTTAGCAAAACTGTTTAAAAGTATTTATTGCTTTAAATGTTTATGCAAACTAGCTAAAAGATAAGGGTTAATACTTTCTACTGCCTTTCTAAAAGTAATTTACATTGACGTATATTGCTTGAGTGAAACAAATACTTGCTGTGGAGTCCGAGTTTGTACATTACATTGTCAATTGCTTAGACGGATATTAAGAAAGGAATGAAATATGGATTTTGGTCAAAATAGCTAGCTAAACAAAATTTCTTGAATGATATCAATAAATATTGAACGACTAACTACATATTAAAGCTACTTATATGAACTTTAAAACATAACTATTCCATCGTTGAGTTATTTAAGTAATTTTGAATTATTTTTGTCTATCGTTGTTTTTTTTGTCACAGCAGCCAGTTATGTACAGCTCATATGAGGTATTATGAAGCGCATGCACCCTTGGTTTCACCCTTAGAATAGAAGACATTTAAAATTGAATGGACAATATTTTCCTGAAGAATACTCTTACTCATGTAGTTCTGATATTTGTTTTATTTGAAAGTACTACAACTGTGTATAACACATTTTACTGACAGCTGAAAGCTTATGTGACCCAACATTTCATTTTTTAATATTTCTCATTGTCATTCTACATGCGTATTTTGAATAGTGCTCTATCCCAAAGTTATGATAGATAATTTTCAGCGCTGTCTAATGTTATAATTAGGCAAACAAAATCTGCCAAAACTTAAGCGCGGGACACAATATCGTCGAAATGCAACGAATTTCGTGACGAGTAGCTCGTCTACGAGCCGTCGTGACGAGTACATGTGCCACATTGTAACGATTTTCCGTACAAGCATGGACGATTATCAGCGCAAAAAGAAACTTCTATTATTGAAGAGAAAAATTCTACTGCTTCTAATTTCTGCAAAACGACGTACATACAAAAGGAAGGTTCTGGGTACATCCCATAAATAAAAGGCAAGAAGAGAAGGGCTTGTATGACACGTTGTTGCAAGAGCTTTGCCAAGCTCAATTGGTCGCAACTTTCAGTTCCCGAGCGACATCCTTCCAATTATTTTTCTTTATATTGCGTGTATCTTTATAGTAAGGATGAAATTTGTCCCACAAACATCACCTCTCTCTCACTAGCTCAATTAATATTTCTTACCAATCCGCCATTTTGCCACAGCACAGTGAAAGCAAACATTAGTCATGTGATTTTTTTTGTCCAATCAGAGTAGATATGCAACAATTACTCGTCACTCGTTGACGATTTCGGTGTGCATGCTCAACGGCGACGAATTCGTCCATATCGTCATATTTTCTCGTTGACGAGCGACTCGTCACGAAATTCGTTGCATTTCGACGATAGTGTGGCCCGCGCTTTAATGGAGCCGTATATTTAATACCGATGGTTTATCTAACACAGCTTATTATTGGTTAAAAAAACAAGTAGCTTGCTGCCATTATGTTGACATAAGTAACATGATATGAGCTACAAAAAGTCCAATGGAAGATTGAAATAGTGCTAAAGTTTTCTTTTACTTTCCATATGCTACATCCAATTTTGTGTTATTACCTGAAATAAGACATAATCTTATCGGGTTTTTCTTATATTAAAGACATAGAGATGAAAATAAGGAGTTCAAAAGTCAGATTTATTGTAATATAATATGAGATGAGTTGCTTAATAAGATATGTAAAAGTCTGTAGCAATACTGTTTTCCTATACTCTGGATAACCTAATTTTAATTTTGTGGGCGCTTACTTGTCACAAAACATGATTTTAATGATAATTTTGAAGACTCGAAAGTAAAGTGTAGAAATTTTTGAGTTTATAGTCGTGTAATATCTTATTAGCATCATCATGCATTGAGGAAATTGAACACGGAAGAATCTCGTAAAATCTGTTTTTTGTCTTGTTTCATGTCTTGATTTATTGTCTTCCGAGGACATCTAATAAAAGGGCGACATAAAGATGTGATTGGTTAAAAAAGCAATCAAACTTTACCTTTGAAATTATAGTCCGTCAGGTTTCTGCATTTTTATGGGAGAATTGTGGGTTATGGGTTAAAATCATCAAATTTAACCCATTTCTATATTTTGACATGCTGAAGAAAACTTTCTATGGACCCCATCGTAAATGTGCCTGTAAACAGCGAAAAACGATTCCTTATTTAGACGTCATGTGACGTCACTAAATAATTTCTAAAATTGTTGTTTTTAATGTTTGAAAGCACCAAACCACAAACAATTTCAATTTTG